CAATAAAGGAACATCAGTACAAGCAATAAATCTAGTAAAGAGGACTTGGCAATATACCGGTTATAGAATGAGGATGGCTCAAATTAGGGTGTTGGTAGTGAAATATTTAAAATGGTCATATTTGGGACACATTTTGAAAGTAGGGCCAACGTAATCATGACAAATTAGATGGGGGCTGTGAGAAAAAGTTACATTTAATTTATACCATGAGTAAGTGGAAAGATGGAGTTTCCATTTACTGTGAGGGGAAGGTAGGTCTTCAGGTGAAGAAGGTTTTAGGGGAAATATAGCTCTCAGATTAATATTTTACTTTGGTGGGCAGCCCCATGGAGATGTCAAGTAGGTAACTGATGTACAGGTCTGGAGCACAGAGAGAGTTCAGCTGAAAGATACAAATTTGAGACTGGGCCACAACAACATTACAAGATGGGAGTAATAAGGAGGGATGAATAAAAAAGACAATGAAATAGCCAGTGAGTTACTAGAAAAACCTGGAGAGTGTGGGATCCTGAGAGTCAAAAAGAGAAGTTTTTCAAGGAAAATGTATGATCAGAAGCTCCTGATTGATAAAGTAAGAAAGAGAATATTAAATGAAAATTAGAGGCCATTGATGACCTTAAGATAAATTAAATTTTTTAAAAAATATATTTTTAGCCGTACCTGGTTTGGCTCAGTGGATAGAGTGTCAGTCCGTAGACTGAAGAGTCTTGGGTTCATTTCTGGTCAAGGACACATGCCTGGATTGCTGGCTTGATCCCCTCTGGGGGGTGTGCAGGAGGCAGCCAATCAATGATTCTCTCTCATCATTGATGTTTCTCTCTTTCTGTCTCCCTTCCTCTCTGAAATATAAAATACACACACACACACACACACACACACACACACGAGGTCTGGTGCACAAAATTCATGCATGAGGGGGCCCCCTCAGCCCAGCCTGCACCCTCTCCAGTCTGGGACCTCTTGGGGATGTCTGTCGGACATCCCTCACACAATCCTGGACTACTGGTTCTTAATCGCTCACCTGCCTGCCTGCCTGGTTGCCCCTAACTGCACCCCCCCCCCCTAGCAGCTTGATTGTCCCTCACAGCCTCTGCGTGCTTGCCTAATTGTCCCTAAATGTGCCCCCCCCCCCGCGACACCCTGGTAGCCCTTAAGTGCCCCCCCCTCTGCTGGCCAGGTCACCCCCAGTTGACCTCCTGCTAGCCTGGTTGCCCCATGCAACCTGCTTATTCAGTCATTTGTCGACCCACATTAACCCCTGTGCCGGCCTGGTCACCTGACACAGCCTACTTGTTCAGTCCTTTGGTCATCCCTCACTAACTCCCCTGTCAGCCTGTTTGCCCCATGCAGCCTGCTTGTTAAGTCATTTGGCCATCCCTCACTAAACCCCACTGCTGGCCTGGTTGTAGGCACCCATCTTGTGAGGGTATGAGGGTACCCTCATTATATTATATATATATATATATATATATATATATATATATATATATATATATATATAATTATATATATTATATATATATAATTTTTTAAATAAGAATATATATATATATATATAATTTTTAAAATAAAAATCATTGATCAGCTGTCTCCTGGAGGCCCCAAACTGTGGATAGAGCCTGCAGTTGATCTGGCATTGAACCGTGACCTCCTGTTTCATAGGCTCGATCACTGAACCACACTTAAGAGAATTTTAATCCAGGCTTAAGAGCATTTTTTATGGCATGTTGGGGGAATGGGAAGGAGAACTAGATTAGAGTCAGAATGGGTTTTAGAGAGACAATTGGAGGGGGAAAATTGAAGACAATGGATAGGAAATTCTTTCAAGTTTTGTTGCAAAGAGGAGTAGAAAAATAAGTTGGTAGCTGGAAGGGTATGTGGAATCAGAAGAGGGTATTTTTGAGGAGGAAAAAGTAACAACATATTCTTATGCTGATGTAACCCAATAACATAATGCTTGATGCAAAAATAAGCAAGATGTAAAAAATAGAAACAACATGGCACAATTTTATTTATTTATTTATTTATTTTAGTATATTTTATTGATTTTTCACAGAGAGGAAGGGAGAGGGACAGAGAGCCAGAAACATCGATGAGAGAGATACATCGATCAGCTGCCTCCTGCACACCCCCCACCAGGGATGTGCCCGCAACCAATGCACATGCCCTTGACCGGAATCGAACCTGGGACCCCTGAGTCCGCAGACTGATGCTCTTACCACTGAGCCAAACCAGTTTCGGCACATGGCACAATTTATGCTTTAAAAATTTCACCAATATTATCATACTTCTAATTTAAGACAAAGTTTTTCACATATTTTGAAGATAAAAAAGTAGTATTCTACTATTTCCATTTGCTTACCTTATTTTTTCTATTTTCTATTTTCTTTTTAGTTTTTCACATTTTAACATTTCTAATGTGATCTATCTTAAAAAGTCATGACTTATCATAGTTGAATTGACAATCATTTTCTTTTTTATCGGTACATAAAAGTGTGTCTCAAAATTAATAGTATGCTAGACTCAACGATATTGAAAATATATTTTGTATGAGTGCATAAATAAGGCAAAAAAAGAAAATTCATAACAGGGACATGATGGCATGATACTGGCATAAAAAGAGATATATAGATCAATGGAACAGAATAGAGAACCCAGAAATAAACCCATGCCCTTATAGGCAATTAGTATTTGACAGAGGAGGCAAAAACATACAGTGGGCTAAAGATAGTCTCTTCAATAGATGGTGTTGGGAACATTGGACAGATACATGCAAAAAAATGAAACTAGACTACCTTCTTACACTGCATACAAGTAAAAACACAAAATTGATTAAAGACTTAAATGTTAGATTCAAAACTATAAAAATCCTAGAAGAAAACATAGGTAGTAAAATCTCAGACATTTCTTATAGCAATATTGTTTTCTGATATATCTCCTCAGGCAAGGGAAACAAAAGAAAAACAAAACAAATGGGACTATTATCAAACTAAAAAGTTTTGCACAGCAAAAGAAACCATCAGCAAAATGCAAAGACAATCCACTGAATGGGAGAACATATTTGTTGAAGCATCTGATAAGGTGTTACTATCCAAAATTTATAAAGAAGTCATATAATTCAACAGAAAAAAAAATCCAATTAAAAAAATGGGCAAAGAACCTGAATAGGCACTTCTCCGAAGAGGACACAGATATCCATAAACATATGAAAAGATGTTCAATGTCACTAATCAGAGAAAAGCAAATTAAAACTGCAATATCACCTCACACCTGGCAGAATGGGTATCATCAATAAATCAACAAACAAGTTTGGTGAAGATGTGGAAAAAAGAGAACCCTAGCACACTGTTGGTGGGAATGCAGACTGGTACAGCCACTGTGGAAAGCAGTATGGAGGTATCTCAAAAAATTAAAAATGGAACTGCCTTATGACCTAGTAATTCCACTTCTGAAAATTAATCTTAATAAACCTGAAAAGGTAATTCAAAAGAATATATACACCCTGTTCATTGCAGCACTATTTACAATAGCCAAGATTTGGAATCAGCCCAAGTGCCCATCAGCAGATGAGTGGATAAAACAGCCATGGTAAATTTACACAATGGTAAAAAGGAAGAAAATTTTACTCTTTGTGACAGCATGGATGGACCAAGAGAACATTATGCTAAGTGAAATAAGGCAGTCAGAGAAAGACAAGTTACCATACGATTTCACTCATTTGTGGAATTTAATAAACAAACTGAACTAACAAGCAGAATAGAGACAGACTCATAGATAGACAGGAGGCAGACAGTTCTGGTGGGTGGGGAGTGTTATGGAGGTGGAGGGATTGAGAAAAAAAAAAGAGAATTCATGGACAAGGACAAAAGTGTGATGATTGTGGGGGGAGGGGTTTAAGGTTAAATGGGGAGATAAATGGTGATGGGGAAAAATGGAACTTAATTAAAAAACCACACACAACAAAAAAGTAAATAAAACAAATTTTTAAACAATTACTTTCCCGAGATTATGGAGTAATTATGTTTCATAATGTACATTTAGGTAACAAATATGAGAGAAAATGCATAGTATTTGTATTTGTGTGTGTGTGTGTGTGTGATGGTTGAATACATAGAAATTGAATAATAAACAAACATTAGAGAAGGAGAAGTGACTAGGATCAGGACTTGAGGAGAATAGATAATTAAATTTTATTGGTAATATATTATTTCTACTTTTAAATGCTTCAATAAAGTAAGTAAAATTAATTTTTAATGGAGATCAGTACTTCTAATATTGCTACATACAGCATATCAAAATATCCTAGAAACTATTTTGCAAATAATTTTTAACAACTGGTTTTTGCAAAATGATCCCAGATTTTTAAGAGATTAGAAAAGAAAGAAGGCAAAGGACATTCTGAGTGCTAATGTTTCGCTCTGAGCCCTGGTGAATGAGAAGTGGATTTAGGCTGGATTATCTTCTTAAAGTGAATTTTCTGAATTTCACAGTATTCCCATTGTGCATGCAATTCTTTTGTCAATCGGAGAAAACAACAACAACAACAACAAAAGGGACGGGGGGTTATCCCCCAAAAATAAAGTCTGGAAATGACCAGACAGTCAAATTTACCTAGAGATTGATTGGGTCAAGATGGCAGACTGAGCACTAGTGAGCTTCTCTTATCCTACCACAAATCCCCTTTAATGACAGGAAAGGAAGGTTTGGGTAACTCCAGAAAGGCACGGGGAAAAGAAAGGGCGAATTCCTCGAAGATGAAAAGCAGATGGGGCAGGGGCACCGAGGTGGGGGTGGGGGGAGGTGGGGGTGGGGAACCTGAGGGCTCCCAACTGGAGAGAGAGACGCTAGGTGGTAGGGTAGGGTAGGGGGGCTGTGGGCTGGGCTGCTGGGGATTTGGCAAGGGGCGGGTCCAGGAACCCAGATGCGATTCCCAAGCCGGGGGCCGAGGTGGGCGTGTGAGAGCTGGGGGAGGGGAGCGCATGTTGTTTAGCAGGAAGGGGAGGCCTGGCAGGAAGCGGAGCCGCGGAGAGAGGGGAGGAGACTTGCTGCTTCGGTAGCGGCCGGTGGGATCCCCAAGTGGCAGTGGGGCTGCCTGCGAGTCAGGGGTCCGCTGGAGACACAGCCTCCATCCTCTTCGCCCAGCCCGCCGCCCGCTTAGACGCGCTCCTCCACCCCGGATCCTCCCCAACCAGCTCTTGCTAAAGCTCGGCGCCTGCAGATCCACTTTGCTCACAGGTTCACAGCCAGGTGTTCCCTATTTGGGCACGTGAAGCCCGCGATCCCCAGACGCGGGGAGGTGGGCACCGGACTAGAGAACTGGAGGTTGGGGGTTGGTTTGCTTCAGGCAAGACCATTGGGGTCCTTGCCAGGACGGGACAGGAGCCCGAGAAGAGGGACTTGGAGACTGGAGGTGGGAGGGGCGAGTGGAAAAACACCTGGTTCGTGTACAAAGGTGGCTAGAAAAGGAAATGAGTTCCTTGTGAGCACCCAGCGGGGAAAGTGCGAATGAATAGGAAGGAGATCAAGGAGAGAGACAGGAACAGCAGGCAGAAGGCGTGTCTTTATGGGAATTAAGAGGGACAGAGTGTGCCCTAGCTGACTTGGCTCAGTGGATAGAGCGTTAGCCTGCGGACTGAAGAGTCCCAGGTTAGATTCCAGACAAGGAGACAGTTCCCCAGTTGGGAAGCATGCAGGGGGCAGCCCATCAGTGATTCTCATAGTTGATGTTTCTCTCTCTCATTCTCCCTTCCTCTCTGAAACCAATAAAGAAATATATTTTTAAAAACAAGGCACATGTGGACTACACTAGTGGAAAGGAAGAGATATGAGGCAGGAGAGCTTCTAAGAAATGGTGAATATTTGTGTGTGGTGTAAGGACTCTAGGATATCAACAGAGGGACAGGCATTATGCAAAGGAACCCTGTAGTTGGGCCTTCAATCAAAGCAACCACCACCTCTCTGAAACTCCAGCACAGCTAAAGGAGCCTGGAGGGCGGGCTGATGCAGCCAAGCATCCAGTACCATCCTGATAACCAGCATTCTTTTTTTTTTTTAATCTATTTTGTTGATTTTTTACAGACAGTAAGGGAGAGGGATACAGAGAAACATTGATCAGCTGCCTTTTGCACACCCCCTAGTGGGGATGTTCCCGCAACCAAGGTACATGCCCTTGACCAGAATGGAGCCTGGGACCCTTCAGTCTGCAGGCAGATACTCTATCCACTGAGCCAAACCGGTTTTGGCCAGCATTCTTTTTAAAAGTATTTTTTAAATTGATTTAGAAAGGAAGGGAGAGAGATAGAAACATCAGTGATGAGACAATCACCAGCCGGCTGCCTCCTGCACAACACCTCCCTCCCCCCATCCAGCCAACAACCCAGACATGTGCTCTTGACCTGAATTGAATGCAGGACCATTCAGTTTGCAGTACGATGCTTTATCCACTAAGCCAAACCAGCCAGGGCAGGGCAATACCCAGTATTCTTTTTCTTTTCTTTTTTTAAATATATATATTATTGATCTTTCACAGAGAGAAAGGGAGAGGGATAAAGAGTTAGAAACATCAATGGGAGAGAATCATTGATCAGCTGCCTCCTGCACACCGCCCACAGGGGATGTGCCCGCAACCAAGGTACATGCCCTTGACCAGAATGGAACCAGGGACCCTTCAGTCCGCAGGCCGACACTCTATCCACTGAGCCAAACCAGTTAGAGCTATACCCAGTATTCTTGCTGGACATATTGAATAATTTGGGCAGCAATGTACCTGGTGCCCAGCAACTTTGTGATAGAGAAATTAATTCATGCTATAATACACTAAATGTTTCTTTTTAGCCTCCTCCCCGCCCCCCCACCTCCTTTGCAGATATGAAGACCTCTCACAAAAAGGCACCTGCAGAGCAGGAAACCAGAGACAAAGTAAATCACCACACCGGATCCGCACATGTGAAGAAGAAAAAAATGTCTCATAAGAAACAGAGGGGCAGACCTTCATACCAGCCCCGCAGGAGCCTCGTAGGCTGCAGGATCTCCCACGGGTGGAAGGAAGGCGACGAGCCCATCACCCAGTGGAAAGGGACCGTCCTGGACCAGGTGCCCATCAACCCCGCTCTGTACCTGGTCAAATATGATGGCATTGACTGTGTCTATGGACTGGAACTGCACAGGGATAAAAGAATTTTAAAACTTAAAATACTTCCTGATAAGGTGCCACTGTCTCAAGTCAGAGATGTGCACCTCGCCAGCACCATCATTGGCAAAGCGGTGGAGCATCTGTTTGAGGGCGAGCACGGGGCCAAGGATGAGTGGAGAGGGATGGTGTTGGCCCAAGCGCCCATCATGAAAGCGTGGTTCTACATCACCTATGAGAAAGATCCCGTCCTGTACATGTACCAGCTTCTGGATGACTACAAGGAAGGAGACCTCCGCATCATGCCAGATCCTAGCGAGTCTCCAGCAGAGAGAGAGCCAGAAGGAGTTATAGATGGCCTGATAGGCAAACACGTGGAATATACCAAAGAAGATGGCTCCAAACGGATAGGCAAGGTTATTCACCAAGTGGAGGCCAAACCCTCTGTGTACTTCATCAAGTTTGAGGATGATTTCCATATCTATGTCTACGATTTGGTGAAAAGGTCCTGTTAGGGTACAATTTGTCACATTTGTGGAGGCAAATGTTTGGAGGCACAAAAAAATGTAGCTTTTTGATGTATAGAAAGCTTTAGACTCCCTACCAATGAACATCGTTGCCAGCATAACTATTGTTTGTTCTGAAAAATACAAATGTGTGTGGACATGCCATGTGTGGAAGGACTTTATCATGTGGAGGAGACTGGGTGTGTTGGGTGGATGGGGCATGAAAGGAAGGGACAGCTGTAAATTCGGGCTGTGAATAAAGTTCAGTAGCATCATCATCAGTCATCTAAAAATGGCATAGGACTCAGCTGGCCTGCTCTGGGAAGGAGGGAGGAGAAGGGACCAGAGCTGGGCTGTGGGGGAGGGCAGAGGGAGGTTGCTGCTGAGGAAGCAGTGGGGAGGGGCCAGAACTGGAGGGGCTTCCTGGGGGAAGGCTGTGTGAGGAGGGGGAGGCCCCAGCTGGGAGGAGATGAGAATAACAGAGGGAGAGGGAGATCTTGGGGCTTAGAGGAAAGCAGACTGAAGAACTGGAGTGGAGAGGGCACAGAGAATCTCAGAAGAGGTCCAGAGCCAGGGGAGAAAGACAAAGCTGGCAGAGATTAGGGGAGTGGCTACAGGATACTCTAAGGTGGGACTAGGCCTGTGAGGACCAAAGGGCCAGGGACACTGAAGAAGGAGGAATCCTAAGAAGAAAGCCTGCCCCAGGGAGAGATCCTACAGACAAAGAGGTGTGGGGAGTGGGCCGAGGGGAGAGGGGAGAGGGGAGGCCCAGGAGCATCTTGCACTTCTGACAGGCCCACATTGCTGTCCCTGGCTCTGGGCACAGAGATTGTGGCAATGGAGAGAAGCCAGGTAGGTGGCCTGCAGGTCCCCTAGAAGGTATTTGGACAGGGATGACTCAAGGGTTAAGCAGGAGCCAGGTTTACACCTAAAAGATGGAGTTCATTTCAGGGACTTCATGCTACACTGCAAAGCAGGACCCTGGACCCTGGGCCTAAACACACTCACACTGTGCCTTCAGGATGTGGCTGTGGGTGGCCTCTTTGCTCAGAGGACCCAGGAGCAACAGGTCTTGGACCTGAAGGTCTTGGTTCCTTTACCCTACACCAGTGGTCAGCAAACTCATTAGTCAACAGAGCCAAATATCAACAGTACAACGATTGAAATTTCTTTTGAGAAATTTCTAATTTTTTTAAACTTAAACTTCATCTAATGCTACTTCTTCAAAATAGACTCACCCAGGCCATGGTATTTTGTGGAAGAGCCACACTCAAGGATGCCAAAGGGGAGAGCAGTTGGAGGGCACCAGGCTTTCAGGGGAGGGCAGTTAGAGGCAACCAGGCCTGCAAGGGAGGACAGTTGGGGGCAATCAAGTCTGTAGGGGAGCACAATTGGGGGTGATCAGGAAAGCAGAGGAGAGAAGTTGGGTGTGACTGGGCCTGCAGGGAAGGGCAGTTGGGGGGGGGGCAGGCCCTGAGGGGATAGTAGTTCGGGGGTGGGACCAGGCCTGCAGGGGAGGGTAGTTAGGGGCAAACAGGCTGGCAGGGGAGCAGTTAGGCATCAATCAGGCTGGCAGGGGAGTGGTTAGGGGATGATCAGGCTGACAGGCAGAAGCGGTTAGGGGCAATCAGGAAGGCAGGCAGACAAGCAGTTGAGAGTCAGCAAGCCTGGATTGTGAGAGGGATGTCAGATTGCCCTAAGCGTGCAGTCCAACATCCCTTGAGGTGTCCCAGATTGGATAGGGTGCAGGCTTGGCTGAGGTACACCCCCCCCCATGCATGAATTTCATGCACCAGGCCTCTAGTACTATATAATTTGCTTAGTTATATGTTTATTACAGTCCCAGTGCACAAAATGCTTGCATGGGGGGTTCTTAGCTCTGCCTGCACCCTCTCCAATTGGGGACATCCCTCTCATAATCTGCAACCACTGGCTCCTAACTGCTCACCTGCCTGCCTGCCTGATTGCCCCTAACTGCCCTTCCCTGCTTGCCTGGTTGCCCCCAACTGTCCTCCTCTGCTAGCCAATTTGGTTCTGATTGATCAGTTCTTATGCCAGGGTCAAAAGCTCCGCCTCCTAGGCAGCCATTGGCTGCCAACAGCACCCACCTCTGGTCCTGATTGGTCAGTTCCTATGCCAGTCAGCATCAAAAGTTCCACTTCCTAGCCCACGTGTCAAACACAAGGCCCGCGGGCCAAATCCGTCCCGCCAGGCCTTGCAATGTGGCCCGCACCACGCTGTCATCACTGCACTCCGCTGTGTTTCCATCACAATGACAGTTTATGACTGTTCAGTAAACCATTCGGCCTGTGATTTAGGCTGGATTTTAGATTTTGGCCCCTTCTCTGATTGAGTTCGACACCCCTATCCTAGACAGTCATTGGATCCCCACAGCACCCAACTTTTATTCTCATTGGTCAGTTGCTATGCCAGTCATTGTCAAAAGCTCCACCTTATAGGAAGCCATTGGTTTCCCACAACACCCACCTTTGATTCTGAATTGTCATTTCCTATGCCAATCAGCATCAAAAGCTCCATCTCATAGGCAATCATTGATTGGCTCAACACAGCATCTAAATTTGGGTCTCCTTGGTCACTTTTATGCCAGTCATTGTCAAAATCTCCACCTCCTTGGAAGCCATTGGTTCCTCACAGTACCCGCCTGTGGTTCACATTCATCGGTTCCTATGCCAATCAGCGTCTGAAGCTCCATCTCTTAGGCAGCCATTGGTTCCCCAAAGCACTTACCTCTGGGTCTCATTGGTGGGTTCATCTGCCAGTCAGCATCAGAAGCTCTGCCTGCTAGGAAGCCATTAACTCCCCATAGCATCTAGATTTGGGTCTCATTGGTCAGTTTCTATGCCAGTCAGTGTCAAAATATCCACCTCCTTGGAAGCCATTAACTCCCCACAGCACCCACATGTGGGACTCATTGGTCAGTTCCTATGCCAGGCAGCACCCAAAGCTTTACTTCCTAGGCAGCCATTGGTTCCCCATAGCACCCACCTGTGGGTCTCATTGGTCGGTTCCTATGCCAGTTAGAATCCAACGCTACGCCTTCTAGGCTGCCATTGGTTCCCCACAGCAACCAATGGTTCTGATTGTTCCTTTCCAATGCTAGTTATCGTCATAAGCTTCTCCTTGGCAGCCATTGGATCTCCACAGCACACAACTTTGGTTCTGACTGGTCAGTTTCTATGCCAGTCAGCGTCAATTGCTCTGCCTCCTAGACAGCCATTGCTTCCTCACAGCAACCACTTGTGGTTCACATTGGTTGGTTCCTATGCCATTCAGTGTCTTAAGGTCCCCCTCCTACGCAAAAATTAGTTCCCCACAGCCCCACCTGTGGGTCTCATTGGTCAGTTTCTAGGCCAGTCAGCATCCAAAGCTCTGAATCCATTGGTTCCCCGCAGCAGCCAACTGTGAGTTTTATTGGACACTTCATATGCCAGTCAACTTCATAAGCTCCACCTCCTAGGCAGCCATTGGTTATCCTCAGCACCCACCTGTGCTACTCATTAGTCAGGTCTCATGCCAGTCAGTATCAAAAGCTCCTCCATCTAAACAGCCATTGGTTCCCCACATCATCAACCTTTGCTTTTTTGTTTTGTTTTGTTTTGTTTTTGTTTCTTTGTTTGGAGGGACTGGTTTTTTATTTTAAAAAGATACTTGTTCAGTTTTCAGTATCAAGACAGTTGCATTATTGGTTTCGGTTTCTGTCAATTGGCCCCACAAGGGACCACACCAAAGGAGAGTGCATTTTAAGCCATTAAGTTGCAGGATATGCACCTAACATACCTCAAGGAAACCACACTAAAAACGGGGCAAGCACCCACATTTAGTTCTGATTGGTTGGTTTCTATGCCAGCCATCGTGAAAAGCTCCACCTCCTAGACATCTATTGGCTCCCCACAGCATCATCTTTGGATCTCATTGGTCATTTTCCATGCCAGTCAGCTTCAGAAGCTCCACCTCCTAGGCAGCCATTTGTTCCCACAGCACCCACCTGTGTTTCTGATTGCTCAATTCCAATGCCAGTCAGGGTCAGAAGCTCCACCTCCTGGGCACACATTGGTTCCCCACATTACCCACCTGTGGGACTCATAGGTCAGTTCCTGTGCCAGTCATTTTCAAAAGCTCCTCCTTCTAAACAGCCATTGGTTCCCCACAGCAGCAAACTGTGGATTTTATTGGTCGCTTTCTATGCCAGTCTGCTTCAGAAGCTCCAACTTCTAGGCAAACATTGGTTCCTCACAGCAGCCACCTGAGGTTCTCATTGGTTGGCTTCTATGACAGTCAGTGTTAGAAGCTCCCCACTGCACACACCTGTGCTACTCATTGGTCGGTGCTTATACCTGTCAACGTCAAAAGCTTTGCCTCCTAGAAAACCATTGGATCCCTGCCTCAGCCACCTGTATTTCTGATTGGTCAGTTCCTATGCTAGTTAGTGTCAAAAGCTCCTCCTCCTAGACAGCCATTGGTTCCCCAGAGCACCCTTCTTTGGTTCTGATCTATGTCAGACATCATCAAAAGCTCCGCCTCCTAGGCAGCTATTGGCTCCCCACAGCATCCATATTTGTTTCTCATTGGTCAGTTCCTAGGCCAGTCATTGTCAAAAGATCCTTTTTCTAGACAGCCATTGGTACCCCATAGTACACATCTGTGTTTCCGATGGGTCGGTTCCTATGCCAGTCAGTGTCAAAAGCTTTTCTTCCTAGACAGCCATTGATTCTCTACAGCACCCACCTTTGGTTCTGATTGGTTGGTTCCAATGCCAGTCAGCATCGAAAGCTCCACTTTTTAGGCGGCCATTGGTTCCCCATAGCACCCACTTGTGTTTCTGATTGGTCACTTCCAATGCCAGTTAGGTCAGAAGCTCCACATACTATGCACACATTGGTTCCTCACAGTACCCATCTGTGGCACTCATTGGTCAGTTCCTATATCAGTCAGCATCCAAAGCCCTGCTTCCTAGGCAGCTATTGGCTGCCCGTAGCAACCAAGTTTGGTCGATTTCTATGCCAGTCAATGTCACATGCTCCGCCTTCTAGGCAGCCATTGGTTACCCCGAGCACCCAACTATGGTTCTGATTGCTTAGTACCTATGCCAGTCCAAGTCAAAATCTCTGCCTCATAGGCAGCCATTGGTTCCCCACATCACC